GCCCTTCCTGCCTCACATCAAGCCACTGACCAGGACAGCCTTAGACCACCTTGCCCACCTCCAACCGTACCTTACCCCAGGTGCAACTGAAACACTCGTCCATGTGTTCGTACCTCCCAGCTCGACTTCTCAAATGCCCTCTTCGTTGGTCTCCCCAGTTCCACCATGCACATGATCCAGCTGATCCAAAACTCTGACACCCACATACTCACCTGCTTTAAACTCCGTGTCCCCATCACACCAGTTCTAGCCAGCCTCCCTATCGCTGAACAAATCGATTTCAAGATCCTCGCAATCATTTTCAAATCTCTTCATGCTGTGGCACCTCCCTACCTCTCCGACCTGCTTAACCCGCAACCGCAATCCACTCCCTCTGCCCAACTGTCTCCGACCTGCTGCATGTCCCTCGCAACCTCAGCCAGTACACCCCGAAACTCTGACTAATCGCTGCCTTCGCGCAGGTGGCTCAGGTCTTCTGCACTTCCCTCATTCCCTCCACTCCACAGTTGGAGGCCATGCTTTCAGTCTCTACTTCCTGAATCTCTGGAGCTTCTTGCCTCAGTCTCTCCGTCTTGTACCCTCTTTGCCTGTCTTCAGATCACACCTAAAAAACATTATTTCGGTCACCCTGTCTCCTCCCCCCCCCGCCGCCCCCCCACCCGCTTTCTGGCTTGGCACCAAACAAGCTCCTGTATGTTAAGAGCTCCATGATACAACCTTGCATGTATACATTTGAGCTGTTGTGACATTCCATGATTTTTTTTGCTTGCTTTATCTCACATTAATATGAATTTTATCATTAATTTGAAAGGACTTTACACTTGAGGGTGAATATCCCATCTTTTGGGGATTTCAGTATTATCCAAAGTTTTGCCTTTTATAGTTATCACAGCCAATATACTTGACTTTGGCATCTAAAATGTGGCATGATTTGAGCGCCTCCACACATGCAGAATTAATTTTCTACATAATTCAATATTTGGGATTGTGTCTGTCTGGGCTATTGCACATAGGCTTGGACTTAAGATTTGAATAGCTGCCATCAGCCATACGTTAAATCTGATAATGAATTTGGTAATGTGGCCTTAGAATAGGTTAAGACAGCAAACCACTTCAGATAAGGTATCTTCAGTATTGCGGACTAATGCAGACACACAAAATGTGATGAATAAACTCTTGAATAATGACCAACAAAATATCACCAGCAGCACAAAGGGATGCTCACTACCTCCTTGTAAGGAGTGTCAGTGTTGCATTATTGTTCAAGATGTTTTCAATTAAAGAACATAACATAAGAAATGCTTGACAAAAAATAGACAGTCATAATATGATTAGGCAGCGTCAACACGGATTTATGAAAGGGAAATCATGTTTAACAAACCTTTTAAGAGTTTTTTGATGATGTAACTAGCAGGTTAGATTGGGGGGAACCAGTGGATATAGTGCACTTAGAATTTTAGAAGGCATTTGACAAGGTGCCACATAAAAGGTTGTTACATAAGATTAGGGTTCATGGAATTAAGGGTAATATATTAGCATGGATCGAAGAATGGTTAACAGGCAGAAAACAGAGAGTAGGGATAAACAGATCCTTCTCAGATTGGCAGGTTGTGACTAGTGGAGTGCCATAAGGATCAGTGCTTGGGCCTCAACTGTTTACAGTCTACATCCATGGCTTAGATGAGGAAATAGAGATTAATCTGAATTCGTGGACAATACAAAGCTCGGTGGGAAAGTAAGCTGTGAGGAGGACATAAGGAGGATGCAAAGGGATATAGCAGGTTAAGTTAGTGGCCAAGAAGGTGGCAGATGGAGTATAATGTGGGAAAGTGAAGTTATTCACCTAGGTAGAAAAAATAGAAAAGCAGGTTATTTTCTAGAGGAGAAGAGACTAGATAAGGTTAGTGTTCAGAGAGATTTACGTGTCTTTGTACACCAACCACAGAAAGTTAGTAATCAGGTACAGCAAGCAATTAGAAAGGCTAATAGCATGTTAGTGTTCATTGCAAAGGGGTTAGAGTACAAGAGTAGGGAAGTCTGCAATTGTATAGGGCATTGGTGAGACCGCATCTGGAATATTGTGTGCAGTTTTGGTCTCCGTATCTAAGAAAGGATATAATCGCCTTGGAGGGGGTGCCGCTTAGGTTCACTCGGTTGGTTCCTGGGATGAAGGGGTTGACCTATGAGGAGAGGTTGAGTCATCTAGGCCTATATTCTCTAGAATATAGAAGAATTAGAGGTGATATTATAGAAACCTATAAGATTCTTAAGGGTCTTGACAGGGTAGATAGTGAGACTGTTTCCCCTGGTTGGAGAATCTAAAACTAGGGGTTGTAGTCTCAGCATTAAAGGTCAGCCCTTTAGAACTGAGTTGAGAAAACGTTTCTTCACTCAGAGGGTAGTGAGTTTATGGAATTCTCTACCCCAGAGGCTGTGGATGTCAACAACAAAAACAACAACTTGGATTTATATAGCGCCCTCCACGCCGGACGGCGTCTAAGAGCGGTAATGTCAGAGCGACTGACTGGCTGTCAGTCAGTCCTTGAACATATTCAAGACTGAGATTGATAGATTTTTAAAAACTAAAGGGATTAATGGATTTGGGGATAGGGCGGGTAAATGGAATTAGGTTAGAAGATCAGCCATGATCTTATTAAATGGCGGGGCAGACTCGAGGGGACGAATGGCCTACTGCTCCTATTTCTTATGTTCGTATTCTGGACAAGTTGAAACAGCCTGTCATGATCTATATTGTCTAACACCTTTACAATCTTAAAGGCAGCAATCATATCGCCTCTCAATCTTCTCTGTTCTAGCGTGAACATGCCCAATTTACTTAGTCTCTCCTCAAGGTCCAGTCCCTCCATTCGCTCAGTCATTTTCATAAAATCATAGAATTATACAGCACAGAAGGAGGCCATTTGGCCAATCGTGTCTGTGCCAGCTCTTTGAAAAGAGGTTTCAAATCAACCCCACTTCCCTGCTCTCTCCCCATAGCCCTGATCAACCCCACTCCCCCGCGCTCTCCCCATAGCCCTGATCAACCCCACTCCCCCGCTCTCTACCCATAGCCCTGATCAACCCCACTCCCCCGCTCTCTCCCCATAGCTCTGCAAACTTGTCCTCCCCAAATAATTATCTACTTTTCTCGTAAAAGTTTTTATTGAATCAGCTTCCACCGGCCTTTCAGGCAACGAATTCCAGATCCCAACAACTCGCTGTGTGAAAACATTTCTCCTCCCCCCCCCCCTGTTTCTTTTAACAACTATTTTAAATTGGTGTCCTCGGGTTACCGACCCACCCGCCAGTGGGAATAGTTTCTCCTTGTTCACCCTATCGAATCCTTTCATAATTTTGAACACCTCTATTAAGTCTCCTCTTAACCTTCTGCTTCAAGTAAACTTGGAAATTGTTCTCCCTATACCCAAGTCCAGGTCACTTATATAGATCATAAACAGCAGTGGTCCCAATACCGACCCCTGGGGGACACCACTGCACTTCCCTCCAGTCAGAAAATCAACCATTCACCACCGCTCTCTGTCTCCCAGCCAGTTCTGTATCCGCTGCCACTGTCTCTTTAATACCGTGGGCTTCTATTTTGCTTACAAGTCTCCTATGTGGCACTTTATCAAATGGTTTGCCTCCTCTGTTTCGTCTCGATTTGTCCAATATCCTTTTTGGACCAGAACTCTACACAGTACTCTTTAGTATGGTCCCACCAATGATTTATTCAGTGGTAGGATTACCCCACTATTTCGGCTTGCTATTGATCTTATGATACATCCCAGCATATTGTTTGCTTTAACTCACTGCCACAGAGCATTGTTGGGAGAGCTTCAATTTAGTGTCAATCAGCACCCCTCGGTCCTTTCATACATAATATTTTCCTTCCATTCAAATAATAGTCCCTTCCAGGAATGTTTGTCGCCATATGAAGTATTTTACATTTCTCCACATTGAATTTCATCTGCCACCGTTCTGCCCAATTCCCAAGTATATTCAAATCCTCCTGTAACCTATCTTGTTCAGCTTTGCAAATTACCATCTTCATTAGCTTGGCATCTGCAAACATAGCCACTGTGCTTATGACTCCTGTTTCCAGATCATTTATAAAACTATTAAACAAAAGAGGCCCCAAATCAGATCCTTGTGGAACTCCACTGGTAAGATTTTCACAGTGTGATGACCTTCTCTGTAACACCGCCCTCTGATTCTTCCGGTCAACTAGTTTACGTATCTATTGTAAAATACCTCCCTGATTCCCGCTTTCTTTACGTTCAGTGCTAGCCTCTCAAGAGGAACTGTATCAAAGGCCTCACTGAAATCCAGATATACAACGTCCACAGCCTTACCCTTATCAAGCTCCCTGTCACACCGTCAAAAAAAACCAGTAAATTAGATTGTCAAGACCTCACCTACATGAACCAATATTGGCTATCGTTTATGTTATTATTTCTGTCCAGATGCTCCATGATTTATCCTTAATAATAGTCCCCATAATTTTACTCATAATGGATGTCAAAGCATCCTGTTCCAATGAAACATCCTCCAGCACTGAGCATCTCTACCTCAAAGAGATGCCCCAGTTCTTCCTCTTGTCTCTTATTATCATACCCTAAAGATTCCATGTTTAGTCAAAGCCAAGTCTGGCGCGGTAGTGGTGGGTGGGTGGGAGGGTTTGAATCTGGTCTCTTAAGTGTAGCCAGATGCTTTAGGCTCTTTCAGGGAACGAATCGGAAATTGCTTTTTATTCTATAATTTATCCTATTGTATAAAATAATATTCCTATTTGACCTCTATGGCATTGTTTCTGTTTTGCATCGCCACTGATCAGCTGGAGAGTATGGTCTCCAAGATAATGAGGGGTTAAGATCCCCTTTGATATTATTGTCCATTGTAATGTGCTGGGAATTTCAGTTACCAGCTGTCACATGGTACCTCCCATTAGCAATTTTATAAATTGTCAAAGGCTGTGTAATATTGATCTCCTCTTTCTGCAGACCCAATAGAGGAAGATGATGTGTTGGTTGTTGAGCCACTGACTGTGTCTACTCTGCCAGTTAGTGAGGAGGTGAACATCACATCTAGTGACAGCGAGGTGGAAATCATTAATGTTGTGGATGATGAAAGGTAAAGTTCTGCATCCGCCTCTTCAGACGATGATTTCTACAGATCTGCAGTAGGTTATGGGGCTAATAATCTTCTCAGCAGATATACAACAACATCTTTCATGTAGGGTGAATGTCTCCAAGCACATCACAGGTGATGGGGATCACCACGCTGCTAAAAGAGAAGGGGACAATTTGGAATATTGAATAAAGGCTTGGTGTGGCAGGAGAATATGGGGTGTGGATGCAGTGAGTGAGAGTAGATCCGAGTAACAGCATCTTTCTGTGTTCTGATGATTTAATAACCAGTTTTTGCCATCTACTTCGCCTTCCCATCTTTCTAGGTGATCCATTTTTTGTCACTTTCCTACTTAAAAGGTTTGTAATTTGTTATTGATTAGTTGCCTCTCTGAGGCTGTGGCCTTTTCTGAGGCTTGTTGTTTGAGCTTGTTAATTAATCTTATTTCATACATGCATCAAAATCAGTCTATTTTTGCTAATATAGGTCAGATTGCAGGATTGACTTTGCTTCCATAAACTGGCTCATTCTGCTTGTAATCCTTCTAGACCTTCTGTGTCAGGCCCTTGGGTTGGCCACGCAATGAAGAAATCTGGGAACTCTGGGTTCCAGGTCCCTCCCGGTCATCGAACAACTTCAGCAGAGGTTGTGGATCTGACTCTCGATGACAATGGTAAACACAATCTTTGTTGATTGGAAAGCTTTATTTCACAGCCTGTCATTTCAGTTTTTTAGGTCCTGCACCTCTTTCCCCTTCCACTCCCCTCAGCCTGGGCTGCTCCCAGTTAACTGTATGTGTTGCCGTTGTGTTTGTTTGTGGAGAAGCAATTTGGTGGGCATTTGCAGCCAGCCTGAATTCTTAGAATAGTTCATTTGCTGCTGCTGTTTTTATGTTGGCCAAATGTGATGGTTCTTTCTGACGTCCTAGAACTGCGTCAGGATCGTTAGAATTCACACCAAAATTTTAACTACAATGCAAACCTGTTAAGCCGGAAACATAAAGGCTGTTGTTTTGTCCGGCTTAAGCGGTGTCCAAGGTTAGCCGCAGTTCTATTACCTCTTCCTTGGAATGCGGCTTAGAGACACTTCAACACATAAGGAAGAGGGAGGAATACCTGGAAAGTTTACTTCAGAACACTAATGCCACATAGTCAGAGACAGGTACCGGAAGAGGAGTGTGTTTTTCACTTATCTCTCTCAGTCCCCGTTCCCCCCAAAACACGAAATTGAACTTGGGCTTAGGTGATTATACGATTTATACAAATCAGACTTGTGCAAGGTGTACTGGACTGCTTAAAGTTCCAAATACCTGATTGTGTTTCTGGGGAATGACAACACATTGCACAACAAATTTTCCCCTCTCCTGAATTCTTCAGCTTCAACCTCACACCAAAGGAAAAGAAAACAGTTTGACTGTTTTCATCATCCATGCATCTGATATAGCATGCTTTGAAGAGGTTTACTGTAAAGTGTAGCCACTGAATTTTGTAGGCAAATACAACAGTCAATGTCCCACAAACAGCTGTAAAGGCCAAGTTTATGAATTTTATCTGGAGGATTTTCGGTCAGGACACTGGGAGAAACTACCTTCTTATTTCAAATAGAGCCATGAAATATTTCAGGTTCACTGATCATGCAGATGGAGGCAGCTGGGGCCAGGGGCTATGATAACCAAGCAGCTTGGGTAAAACAGGAGCAAGACCAGGGAGAGAACCCAGTATGGGACCCTTTTAGGCCAACGAACCCCAATTATAACCACAGATGTTTTGTCAGCTGTGTTCTTTGCAGAGGAAGAGGTGATCCAAGTTATTTGTGTCTGGAATGCATTGCCTGAAAGGGTGGTGGAAGCTGATTCGATAACAACTTTCAGGAGAGAAGTAGATAGATATTTGGGGGAGGACAAATTTGCAGGTCTATGGGGATAGAGCAGGGGAGTGGGATTAATCTGGATAGCTCTTTCAAAGAGGACACAATGTGCTGAATGGCCTCCATCTGTGTTGTATAACTCTATGATTCCATAATCACTTTTATCATAGGTTTACAATTTCTGTTTATTGATGGTTTATTCATTTGTTTTGAGCTGTATCACATTAACACATAATGAGGTGGGGTGTAGCATGTTGTAGTGAGAAAAGGGGGGTGTCTCCATATCTTATACTTGGCCCCCTCCTTTTGCTTATCTACATGCTCCCTCTTAGCGATGTCATCCGCAGACATGGGATCAACTTCCACATGTATGGGGATGACACATAAATTTTCCAGCTGCGACTCCAGGACTGCTGATGTACTGTCGGCTTGTCTGGCAGACATCAGGGCCTGGATGAATGCAAACTTCCTGCAGTTTAATGTGGACAAGATGGAAGCCATACTCACTGGCTCCAATCAGTGTCTTCTGTGCTGCAGCTCTGACCTCCTCAAACTCCCCCGGCCTATCCTTCAGACTCTCCGAACCAGTGCGCAACCTAGCTGTCAAGTTCGAGCCACAGTTGTCCTTCCTACTACACGTCCAGTTCCTGACTAGGACCATCTTCCTCCAATTTCGCCACATTGCCCGCCTCCAATTGTAGCTTACCCCAGACACAGCCAAAACACTCATCCATGCATCCATCATCTCCCGACTCGACTTCTCAAATGTCCTCTTTGCCAGTCTCCCCAGCTCCACCGTGGAAAGAATTCAGCTGATCCAAAGCTCCGCTGCCCGCATACTCACCCGTACTAAACTCTTATCACACCAGTCCTAGCCAGGCTCCACTGGCTTCCTATCGCCAAATGGATCGATTTCAAGATCCTCACACTCATTGTCAAATCCCTTCATGCCCTGACACCTCCCTCCCTCTCCGACCTGCTCACCTCCCGCAATCCGCTGTTTCCGCTTGACTGGCCCCAGCTTCCTGCATGTCCCTCGTGCCCTCTGTTCCACCATCTGCGGCCGTGCCATCAGCCACTACCCCCAGAAATTTTGGAACACTCTTCCTCTCTCCCTCCGTCCTTGCCTCTTCCTTCCCCATCCTCATCTTCAAATCACGCCTGAAGACCTTCATCTTTGACCGTGCCTACGGTCACCTCCCCCTCTCCCCGGCCACTGTCAAGGGCTCTGGGACCCTACCCTGCATGAGGAGCGCTGTGTAAATCTAAGTTGTTATTCTTGTTCTGAGCAAGCTGATACCGAGCAATATTCAGATGACTGAAACGCTGAATTGCTTGTTTCCAAGCGAGTAATCTGTTTTCTCAAAGAATTTTAAATATACTTGTGCTGCTTTCATTTTGTTTCACATTCTCAGATGCAGCTCTTTGTTTTTTTTGTGAAATAGATGCAGTGACTGTATTGGGTGACCTTCCAGGTATCGACTCTCTCAGCAGCCCTGAAATTGTTCAGTCGGATATGCTTCAAGGATTGTCAGAGAGTTTATCTCTTGGGGTTAACAGCTCACATCTAACGTGGTCATCTTTCAACGCTGCAGCAGGTGGTGAAGCTTATACATCTGCAGCCACTTCAGCAAAGTCTCGGGTGTCATCAGGTAAGGTAACTAACCTCTTGCTCACTGTCCTGGCAATGTGGCAAACCAGAGCAATGCTCTCTCATAATTGCTGTTCTTATATCCACCCATAATTCAGTTATTTATTAGTCCTCACCTCATCACTTTGTAGAATTATAGAAAAAATTTAGGATGTACAACTAGATTCCTCATGTTACTAGAATCTTCACTAGAATCTGCATCTTGGCCAGAGGCTGCCCTCTTAACAATCTTGCTTCTGTCATTACTGCAGTTGAAGTTGGATTTAGGTTTTGAGAGACCTGTGATACAGTTTAGAACATAATTCTTCACCTCAGAGACCTGGGTTTGAATCAGCTGATGGAATGATTGTCTCCTCTCTTTGCTAGTGGAATAGTCCCAAATAAAATGAAGCTTGATTCTTCTGAACAGAAGCATTGGGTGAGGGAATGTTACAGAGCTTTTTCTGGCCCAATTACATTAAATAAATCTAAAATACCTTAACAAGTCAATGCAGAGGAAAATTTACATTGCTTCTAATAAGTGTGCCCACAAAATAGACAATCACACAACTTCACAGTATATTCCTGTGAAGTGCTTTGAGACGTCTTGATGACATGATGAAGTGCTGTATTGAATGCAAGGATTATTATGTGCTTTACTTAACCTGGGAATGCTAAATGCTGACACTGGGTGTCACTGCCAAAAGAAGTTCAATAGGACCCTTGCAGCCAACCAAGAATTTATGCCCTTCTCATGAGGAATATGTCAGGCAGATTGTGGCTTTATGTTTCCAGATTCTGGAACATTGTAATGCTCGAGAGAAACACACCTATTTTGGATTTGTTGATTTCATCAAAGCCTTTAACCTAGTTCTTGTCTAATGAAGCCTTTGGATTAAACTAGAAGCCATTGGGGTACGTGGCCCAATATTGGATTATATTCAGAGGGCAGATGTTTGTCAGATAGCTGATGAGGAATCTCTTAGGCTTGGAGCAACAGCTGCTGGAAGGCGTTAACTGGAGTCTTGATTTTGTGACCATGTATCTGTATATCAAGGGATTGAAATCCACCTTGATTTATTTGCAGAGGTAAGTCAGTCAGTCCTCTGTGATGGTCTCAGTAGTCTGAGTCAAACTAAGCCATTGTAAATCGTCCTGATGCTAACTTACGTGAAGGGCACTATATAAATGCAAGTTGTGGTCAGGTTCCTTAGCCAGGCGGGTCTGCAATATTCCAGGGCACTGCTGATGACTTTGAAGGGGCAGCATAGGAGGGTGTGGGTAACGGCTGAAAAACAAAACTTACACAATAGTTTTAACAAAAAGAGAAAGGTTTATTTTAACAAACCTTGAAAACAAATATATTTATAATAAAATATATGTCACTCTCTGGTTCAAAAATCATGTCTGCTTTGACCCCCTTACAAACAGGAGCCCTTCCACCCCTCTCCCCTCCCCCCCGCTCCCCCCTCCCCCTGCTATACCCTGCCCGCCGTTCTCACCTCAATCCCCCGCTCCCCTCCCACCCCCAGCAGCAGCCACCCTGACTCCCCATCCCTCGTTACCACTGCAAGGCCCACCGGCCCCAGACTCCAGGGGCAAACCTCTCCCCCCTCATTCACATTCCCACTCTTCCTGTCAATCCCTCCTCCTCGCACATTCCTCGATCCCCTCCACATTGTCCTACAAAAGGCCGCTCCCTTTCCAACAAAGCCCTCGCCGTCAACGACCTCATTATTGATGGAAACATTGATATCCTCGCCCTCACAGAAACCTGGATCACCCCAGGCGACACCTTCCCCCAACTGAGGCCACACCACCCAGCTGCACCTTCCACAATACCCCACAACCTAACTGCTATGGTAGTGTGGCTCTCATCTCCAAGTCCTCACTTGGCCTGTAGAATCGTAGAATCATAGAATTATACAGCACAGAAGGAGGCCATTCGGTCCATCGTGTCTGTGCCAGCTCTTTGAAAAAAGATTCTAAATCAACCCCATTCCCCCGCTCTCCCCATAGCTTTGCAAACTTGTCCTCCCCAAATAATTATCTACTTCTTTTTTAAAAGCTGTTATTGAATCGGCTTTCACCAGCCTTTCAGGCAATGCATTCCAGATCCCAACAACTCACTGTGTGAAAACATTTTTCCTCACCTCCCCTCTGTTTCTTTTCACAACTATTTTAAATCGGTGTCCTCGGGTTACCGACCCACCCGCCAGTGGGAATAGTTTCTCCTTGTTCACCCTATCGAATCCCCTCATCATTTTGAAAACTTCTATTAAGTCTCCTCTTAACCTTCTCTGCTCCAAGGAGAATAATCCTCACTTCTCTGCCTCTCCTGATCACTGAAGCCCTCATTCCTGGTACCATTCTGGTAAATCTCCTTTTCACCCTCTCCAATGCCTTGACACCCTTCCTAAAGAGTGGGGCCCAGAACTGAACACAGTCTCTAGCTGAGGTCTAACCAGGGTTTTGTATAAAAGTTTACCATAACTAACTGACTTTTGTATTCTTTGCCCCTATTTATAAAGCCTTGTATCCCTAATGCTTTTTTAACAGCTTTATCTACCTATCCTGCCACCTTCAGAGATTTACTTATATGAACCCCCAGCTTTCCCTGTTCCTTCACCCTCTTTAAAATTGTACCATCAGCTTATATTGCCATTGCTGACGTTAGGCTGACTGGCCTGTAGTTCCCAGGTTTATCCTCTGCCGCTTTTTGTACAGGGGAGTAACATTTGCAACCTTCCAGTCCTCTGGGACCACTCCGGTGTCCAAGAAGATTGAAAGATTGTGGCCAGAAACTCCGCTCTTTCAACCTTTACTTCCCTCAGTAACCTAGGATGTATCCTGTTTGGACCAGGAGATTTATCCACCTTGAGCACCAACAACCTTCTTAGTCGCTCCTCTCGGTTTATTCTTATCTTATCCAATTTCTCTACCCTCTCCTCCGAGACTGTGGCATTGGCTGCATCCTCTTCTTTTGTGAAGACAGATGCAAAGTCCTCATTCAAGTACATCAGCCATGCCCTCTGCCTCCACAAGAAGATTTCCTATTTGGTCCCTATTGGACCCACCCTCCCTTTGACTAACCTTTTATTCTTTATATGCTGATAAAATACCTTAGGGTTTCCTTTTTATGTTACCCGATAATCTTTTCTCATACAATCTCTTTGCCCCTCTTATTTCCTTTGGCAGGTAAAACAGCAAATGAGCAATGGGAAGCCTTCAAGGGGGAGATATTTCAGGGACAGAACAAATACAATACCACAATTGGGAAAGGAGGGCATCCAAACCTCCCTGGATGAATAAAGAGATTGGGATTAAAATAAAACAGAAAAAGGAGGCTTATGATAAATGTCAGGTCCAAAATATAGAATATAATCAAATAGAATATAGGAAGTACGAGGAGAACTGAAAAAGGAAATAAGAGGGGCAAAGAGATTGTATGAGAAAAGATTAGTGGGTAGCATAAAAGGGAACCCTAAGATATTTTGTAAACATATAAAGAATAAAAGGTTAGTATCTTTCTTTCTAGTCCACCTTAGCGAGGTCCCTTTTTTTAACTCATTAAAATTCACCTCTTCCAGTTGAGTATCTTCACCTTTGATTGGTCCTCATCCCTTTCCATAAGTACTCTAAACCTAATGATGTTGTGATCACTGTTATCCTGCTCTCCTACTGAAACCTGCTCCACTTGCCCCACATCATTCCCTAGGACTAGATCCAGCACTGTTTCCTTCCTGATTGGGCTGGAAGCATACTGATCCAGAAAGTTCTCCTGCACACATTTCAGGAATTCTTCCCCCTCCTTGCCCTTTACACTGTTATTTTGCCAGTCTATGTTAGGAGAATTGAACTTACCCATTGTCACTACTCTTTCGGTTTTGCATCTTTGCACCGCACCTCAAGAAGGATATATTGGCTCTGGAGTGGGTACAACACAGATTCTCCAGAATGATACCAGGGCTTAGAGGGTTAAATTGTGAGGGCAGGTTGCATAAACTTGGCCTGTATTCCCTTGAGTTTAGAAGATTAAGGGATGATCTGATTGATGTTTTTAAAATAATAAAGGGATTCAATAGGGTAGCTACAGAGAAACTATTTCCTCCAGTGGGGAATCCAGAACAAGGGGCATCATCTTACAATTAGAGCTTGACCAGTTAGGAGTGAAATCAGGGAGGATTTTTCCACCCAAAGGATAGTGGAAATCTGGAACCCGTTCCCCCAAAAGGCTGTGGATGTTGAATCCATTCACATTTTGAAAACAGGTAAATAGATATTTGTTAGGTCAGGTTATTAAGAGATATGGGGCAAAGGCGGGTAATTTGAATTGAGGTACAGGTTAGCCATGATCTTATGTAAAGACGGAACAGGCTTGAGGGGCTGAACGATCTACTCCTGTTCCTATGTTTCTAAGGGCTGGAGAGCCAAATACCAGCTGAACACATTGCATTGGTGTCCTTCATATTGCATAGCCATCTCAGGGCACGTGATCAGTCACCAGGATAAACCTGACTGCTCTTAGGTAGTAGCAGAGGCTCTCGACTGCCCATTGTGTCTCCTTAGGGTAAAGTTTCATACTGATAGTACTGGATGCTCCAACCCAACAAATGTTGGGGGAGAGCACTGCACCCAGACCAACCTCCGAACTGTCCGTTTGCACAATATTATGAATAATAATTCTTGCATTTGATATAGCGCTATATCACATCTTTGAGACGTCTCAAATCACTTCACAGAATATACTGTAAAGTGAATATACAGTCCATTCAACAACAACAACAACAACAACAACAAGATTCCATTTATAAAGCGCCTTTCATGTCAGGAGGACATCCCAAGGCGCTGCACAGTTGGGTCATGACCCGAGCAGGGGAGAAATGTTCAGGGTGACGGGAGGGAAGGGAGGGAGCGAGGAGGGGGGAAATAGTCAGGGTGAGGGGAGGGAAGGGAGGGAGCGAGGAGGGGGAAGAGAGTCGAGAGGGGAGCTGAAGGCACGGTCAAAGAGAAAGGTTTTGA